TGGATGAAAAATCGAAAGGAATAAGCATCAGTTCGCATATTTCAATCACCTTCTTCGGCTCCGGCCGGCATACTACGATTTCCAGCTGCTTTACGAAGCGTTAGCAGGCTATGGATGGGATTGAAATATTCTCTTGGTGAATTGGGCTCTTTGTTATTATTTTAGTTTTTTCTTTTTTACTTTCAATTAACATACGCCATAGAGGCACCCTTGCGATCGAAATGCCGTACTCGCACAAAGAGGAATGCAGCGACTAGAGATGCTACAGCTAGCACCAACAACAGCATTACCAGGCCACCGACAAAGCTCGGCACCGACATACAAATCGTCTCAGGATCAGCAGATCGTGCCGATTGTATAACTACGGTCTCGTTGTTGGCATTATTGTTGAGCGCAAAGTTGACATCGCCCGGCGCCACCACCTGTATGGTACGACTTGTATTGACGTCGGTCATCTCTTGCGTGTCGCGCTTGTAAATCCTTGGTTTCATCACAATATCTATCGTATCACGTCGTCTACGCACGCCACGCAAGTCATCGAGTCCTTCAACCGAACGTGGTCGTCCACCCAGCGACACCAGATTACCACCTTCGATGTCATCCTTTCGCTTTACAGTGCTGTACTGGCCGGGTTGGCCCGGCAGTGGTGGTGGTGGCATATGCAACTCGTTTGCACTCTGTGGCGTCGCCTGTGAGCTTGGTAGTCCAGATTCGGGTGTTGTCACACCGGCTGTTTGCGCTTGCGGTGAAGGCACTACATCCGGTTGATTTTCCGAGTAGGCACCGGCGGCGTCAGCAGCTTGGTGGCGTGGATCTGGATAGGCCGCTGGCGGTAAGCCTCCACCCAGTGGATAATCGTTGCGTTCGTAGGCTTCGGGTGCGCCATATTCCGCTGAAAGCGCATTGTTGCCGATTTGTGGTACGCCATACTCACCACCTGGTAGTCCAGGTCCACACTTCGGTTCGGGGCAATTGTAGCGACACACTTGTATCACACACTGGAAGTGCACATTCATTGAGTCAGGGAATTTGAAGGCCTGGAAGTATGCGAAACTGACAACCGATGCTGATGGGCCAAAGTTCTTGATCTTCTGGAATTTGCTCATGATTTTCGGACGCACAACGCAGCCATTCTGATCGACCAATTGTATGGGTGCACGCTTACCGTCATGCGCCACACAATTGCGCACCAACATATCGAATTTGTTTTCATCATCCTTAATAGCCAAAACCATAGTCATTGTCTGACCAATTTTCACAATGCCCGACACCTCGGAGGCCCACGGTCCTTTGCCCACTTGAATTTGCATCCAACATTGCAGATTGTCGCCCAAAAAGTTTGCGGTCACAGCATGCAACATATCGACTTGGAATGGTCGGAATGTGACTGCTTTTTCGTAGAAATCATACCATGTGCAACGCAATTTTCTAGCCTGATCCCACACCTCTTGCACATACGGATCATATTGTATGATGATGGTGTTCTCCACATAGCTACCTGAGGGCGTAGGCGCACCATAACCCGCTGCATTGTGATTGGCTGAACTCGTCATGCCGCAGCTGTTGAGAAAGATCTCGAAGGTGGCGCTCAAGTGGCCGGTGCCGGGTTTCAGATGCACACAGTGTGGATCACTGTAGAAGCCCTTCGAAAAGATCATGCCATAGAAGGGACGATCGAATTCGATGTTCACACGCATATGCGTCTTTTCGCACTGCACCTGCAAATGTTTAATCTGTGGACTATCATTGGTGGCGGAGAGCGGCCAAGCATCGTCGGAGATTTCGTTGCTAACTCCTGCGGGTATGGGGCCTTGTTGGGCGGCGTATACGGGCGATGGTGCTGGTGGACCATAAACGGCTCTATGTTCGAGCGGTAACGATGCAGAGTCAACGTGTGGCCCTTCGCAGACAGCGTCCTGTGTGTGAAAGAGTAAAGGTGAGATTGTAAGAAAATTAAAACAAAAAACTGATTTTATTTTAAAGGTTTTAAAACATAAGAAATATTTAGTTAAAGAGTTTTTATGAATTTTTGAAACTATATAGTAGACATTTCAAAAACTATATATGCAGGTACGATTAAAATGTCGAGTTTTTAAGCTGACGTCTGCGTAACAATTAGCTCGAATTTAAAATGTCGAGTTTTTAAGCTGACGTCTGCGTAACAATTAGCTCGAAAAATGTTCAAGAGCTCTCAAAGTGAGCATAAATCTTGACTAAATAGGCTTCCAGACGAATTCAATCTGAAGTATGTAGGATATTTCAATGAAAAGTGAAATTAGGCCGCAATCAAAATTTAAATTAGGTAACGGGGATAAAATGTTTGTGATTTCGGTCCTATTTTATTCACTAAATTAATTTAAACCGCCTGTTCAGGCGCGACTGCTAACACCAGGCGCCTAAATGTATGCTATGTACTGCTGTATGTGCAAAAATTTCATGAATGTACTTCTCAACTGCCATGTAATAAATCTTTCTTAAGTTATAATTTGATGGCAGTTCAAAGTATGCTCTGATTCCATTCACCCACTGAACTCGAGAACGTTGGACAGCATAATCGACAGGGTTCAGGTGATTGCATCCCAATATCCTCCAGGCAACAGCGGCAGTAGCCATAAGATGGGATTTTTACTCTCACTGTTTAAATTCCGATGATCCCAAGTTTTTTTTTGTTTTTGGGAAGGTTAATTAGAAGTTTGTATCTTTTAAGATTGTACTCGCCAGTAAGCTCTTGGCCTGGTGGAGTCCTATACTACTATGTCAGTGTTTTTTCTCCTACATGCTTTTACTTTTTTAAGCTCTTCCCTAATTGTATTTTGGCCTATTGCAAAAAATTGTTCGGGAACTATCATGGTTTAAATCCATCTTAGAATCTTTGGACCCCCAAGAGTTGCCTGCTAAGCGCTTGCGCACCATTAGTGCCTTCGTAGCTTTGATGTGATCGCGCCAATGTGAGATCTCTACAAAAGCTTAGACCCAGGGTTAGACCCAGACACTTAACCTCGGTAGCTTTCACGGTTACCCTCGCCTTATCCAATCACCACTCGAGGGAATGTGTGATCTGTGATTAAATAGGGAAAAGTGGGAAACGTTTACCGTGGTGGCATTTAGTTTAAGTTAGCCTGATTGCGGTCCGTTTTGGGCCAGATCTCCCGGCAAAAATTCGTCATTAGTAGCAACTCAGTTTTAACTATTTTCTAAGTTTGTAAACTTTTACAGGCTTGAGATTTCAATCTAAATAGTATATTTAGCTAGTATATTGCAAATATACCGCTATTTTTTGCGCTGAGAATCGCTGAGAAAATCATTCCTTTCGGTGCTGTTAGATCGAAACACCTATCAGGTAAAGAAGTGTGTTGAGTTTTTTTTTTAAATAAAATTTAAGCATTTATAAAATCTTGAATTTGTAAGGGGTCTACTAATTTAAATTGTGGAACTAAATTTATGTTACCTTTTCCTACATTCACCAGCAAATCTTGAGGGTATTACTTAATGCCAGTCGTCTAATATGCAAATTGATAATAATGAAGCTATAAAATCAGATATGTATGACTGCTGTTGAAAACGTTTAATTTCGCAAATACAAGCGTTTTCCGACAATATTGCGGAAAATGATGAAAAAGCGCCTGCCTGTCAAAAGCTATTGTGGTTACGTAAGTGCGTATAGCACCGAGCGTGAAGAAAAACACGGCAAAAAAATGTTGGTGCCTCCAAGTTAAAAAAATTTAATTTTTTGATTAAGCTACCAACAAAGCACCGAAAGAATGTACACATGTGTGTACAGATAAACATGTGTAAGTGGGTATGTATATATGTATGTATGTATTAACGCCACTTGGCTGCCCCCTTAGTAGATTCGATACACTTCGCTGCTGAAAAAGTTACAAAACACAAAAAAAAAAAACAATGAATTCAGCAAAAAACCCAAGCCAGAAGTATAAGGTAACGAAATAAGCTGTAATCGTCCCACAGTTGCATAACAGCTAACCAAAGAGAAAGAGGTAACAGCCAAAAAAAGTTTCAAACCTTAAACGCCATTGTAAGGATAGGAAACCATAACGGCTATATGCAGCTGTATTTTGTGCTTTGTAAGTTTCAGGTAAACACGCCACCAAAAAAAAAACAAAAAATCGAGATTAACTGGCGTGTGCGACAGATTCGTTTATTTTTTTAAGAAAGAGGAAAAAAAGGAACAATGAGCAGCAACGATCAACTAAAATGACCAAAATGCAGTAAAATCCCAATGTTCGTCTGTAACATACATACAATTTTGTATTCATACATTAGGTCAGATCGGTGTATACCCGAGCGCACTTGTGCACAAGGGTATCATAAATTTGTTTACATAACGGTACAGAATGAAAAGAAAAGTCGATTAAGCCATGTCTGTCTGTCTGTCTGTCTGTCCGTCCGTCCGTCCGTCCGTCAGTGTACACGATAGCTCGAGCTAAAATTGAGATATCTCAACGAAATTTGGTATGTAGGTTGCTTTTTATCCAAGGTAGGTTGGTATTGAAAATGGGCGAAATCGTACTTCAACTTCCCGTGTAACGGTATTTTGGAAAAATGCAAAAACTACGATGTCTCAGTAAATATTAGATCCAAATTGTTGAAAATTAGTATAAAAAGTAGGATTTTGGGTACAAAATAATGTTATAAAATTTTTTGGAAAATGGGCGGGACTCCGCCCACTTATGATGAAAAGCCGTATCTCAGGAGCCGCTTCACCAATCCCTACCAAACTCGGTAGGAGCCTTGATTAGGGCACAGCTAAGAAATCTGTTGAAAATCTCTAAAATCCGGCAATAACCACGCCCACCCCCCATATAACGGAATTTTACAGAAACACGAAAACGTCGATAAAACAATAACTACTAAAGAGAATTCATTTAAAATCGATGATTGCAATAAATTAGCTGAAAATTAGATTATTATGCATTTTTGGATAATGGGCGTGGCACCGCCCCCTACTGACCACAAATGTGTTTGTTGGTAACCGATCAATTTCTACCCAACCCGGCGCACTTAATAGCTTTGGTACGGAAAAGCAATTCGTTGAAAATTATTCAAATTGGACTAAAATTACACCCGCCTCCCGTATAACGGTAGATTTCATAAATACAAAAACCCCGATATTTCACCAACTGAGGACGCTTCTTTACTCCAAGTTAATAGTTAAAACAATCTCTTAACAATATATAACACTGCTATAGACTTATAGGAATTGGGCGTGGCACCGCCCACTTTATGGCTACAAAGGTGTATCTCGGTAACCACTTTATCGATTCGTTCCAAACTTGATTCAGCATATTATTGAAAGTTTCTTAAGATTTTTTTCTTAAATTTTGGTCGATATATTTTTAGCGATAAAGAGTAGTCGAGTTTTTTCGATCAGATTTGGTAGACATATTGCATTAAATTTTTCGTTCACATTTAGCTTTTTTCGATAATTTTTAATAGATGTATTGATACATTTATACATATATTTATATTTTTTTTCGATAATATTAAGTCGATTCATTGACGCATTGCGCATTTTCTTCCAATATAAAAGAAAGTTTTGTTCATGCGCTACATGGAAGAAAACTGGCAACACCGTCGACAGAAAAAAAATCTGAAAAATCTACAGTAATTAGCGACTTCAAACTTGCACTTTATTATACTAAAATGGGCTATAAAACTACACACTCGAAATCTTGCTAAAAAATCTAATTAAAACAAATCAAAATATTGATGAACAGTTTTTTATGTTTAAATAGTTTTTGAGAACTTTGTGCAAGCTTTGAAGCTTTTATTTATGTAGTATCTGATATAGGTCGACCCATATTTTAAATGAAAGTCATTAACAATAAATAAATAAAGATAAATTGCCAACAGCATCGTTTTGAATCTTGATTCTATTATTTTTGATTTCATTTATCGTTATCGTATAAATGCGTTCATTAATATCAATATTGATATCATCCGATTTGGTTTTGATACCGATAGTAAATAAAAGTTAACAATAACTTTTCCTCCACAAAAATCTACCCATCCGAATGTACATACATACATTCAATATATATCATCCAAGTCTTTCGTATGCCTATTCCCAGCCTCTGCTGCTGAAAGTTAATTCCCAAACCTTAGGTAAATTAACCATGGCTGAGGTATGAAGTAAACGCAGCTTACATTAACAAATATTTACAACAGATATATGTACATATGTACATATATAGCTAGTATACATAGTATACTCGCATGTTTTGTTATTCATTTTACTATATGTATATGTACATATGTATGCAGATACCAATGTTCGTATGAATGTACCTATAACGCTGAAAAGATAATCTACACTTTTGTTATTGTAGAAATTTTCGACAGACGCTTTGGTAAGCTATCAGCGTCAGCTTGGCCGATATGTACGAACGAAGCGGATGTTGTGACTTTTAAGAGTGAACACACATATGTATGTACATACATGCATATACATATATATGTAAGTACAATACCCTATTATTTCAACGGTTAATGTATGTAGGTGCGTAATAGTTGTTGCTGGTGTTACAAATTTTCGGTCTTTATGTCGGAATGTTAAAATCGAAAGTGGTTTGGGGCGAAAACTCGTAAAAAGATAATAACAAAAATAAACAAAGGAAATGGAAAAAAGAGAGTGAAAAATATTTTCGATTGAAAAATATGTTGCAGATGTGAAGCTGCAATTTACGTACATATGTATGTAGATATGTACCTATATCCATGTAAAATGTAACGTATGTACTTATGTATGTGCGTTATGCACATGCTGATGTGAATTTCAACAGTCAAATTGGCAAGAACTGCATAGAGCTGTGGCGTTTGTCAGGCAAAATTAACCGCAATAAAAGAGACCGCTCTGTGAGTCATAACCTCCAGCCATAAATTAAGCGAAGTATTC